TAGAGAATGCCAAGAATGTGTGCAGGAAGTGAAGGTCTGAGGATTAGTATCTGATTTGAGGACTAAGGGCGAGAAGTGAAGGAGAAGGAATGAACGCAAGCGATGCTAGGCTTCTCATTATTAATTTTTTTATTTTCTAAACTCAAACAGGGATTAAGATTTTTAAAAAGATAACTCACCCAATCCACCTAATCCATGGGGTTGGGCGGGTTAATTTGGGTTAATCTCGAGTGATTACTCCGGTTAACTTGAGTCAACAAAGGCCATATCAAAATAAAAACATGGACCAAACACATGGACAGGTCACCATTCACTGGTTTGACCAGCAAGTTCAGTCTAGTTTTACAACCAATAGTTGCAACACTTTGATTTTTGAGTTTTATTGTGGTTTTTCAAGTGCCTAGTTGAAATTTGTTGAGTTGGTTGGAAATTTCAAGAGACTTCTTAAAGACTGGATATAGACTAAGTAGTTGGGTTAAATCAAGATAAATTCTGTGTCCATTTCTTCTTCTTTATTGCATTACATTGATTTTCATAAACTCCCTTCTATTGCTATGCTTATCAGTTAGCTATTATTTTATTGAGTTTGGAAAATTTTTTAGAAAATTTAAAAATACCCAATTCACCACCTCTCTTGAGTGCCACCTTACTCAACAGATACCTTGCTACTATTCATGTAGATGATGGTCATAAAATGTTACATTGCAAGCATACAAGTCAATATGCAATATATTAGTGTGTTAAGGTTGATCCCACCAAAAATCAAGTAAAATAGCAATTAGGAATTAAAGTTGCCATTTGTTAGATGAAATTAATTGAAATTGATTGATTAAAATTAATAAGATCAAATTTTATATAAAAAAAACAAGCAATGAGATTTTTAATTCAACAATCATTTGTTTAAAAAGCAACTTAGAGTCACTAATCCCCTATTAACCTTTTAGACTTCATTTTAATCCAATCAATTACTTTTAATGTCAATTCTCTAATTTAGAGTATTAATAGTTATAAGTGTGTTTCGATCCAATCACAACCTTCACTCAAATTAATTATGTTATGTCGAACACGAATATCTAAGAGACAATTCAATTCAAAAACACTATGTATAAAATGATTATATAGGGCACTTAGATATTTGTCTATCCTAATTGCAAATTAGATGAAAATCTAATCCCATATTACTCAATTTAATGATTAAAATGAGATTTTCTATTGTCAAGAAAAAATCCCAACACACAAAATCTTATTTAATGCTAGCCAAACATCAACTAGACATTCATACACAAGATTGAGCAACTAAGATTAACATTAAACATAATTAATAGGAAAAAATGAGTTTAATCCATTAATAGTTTCATATAGCTCCCTTAGATTTAAGGAGAATCAGCCACACATAGCTTTAAAAATAGAAAAATAAGCAAATTGTACATCGAAATGAAGAAGAAAAGGAGAAGAAATGCTTAATTAGAGTGATTTTGGATGAAAATCACTAATCTCTCATGAAAGCCAAGCTTTTGCACTTCTTCCATAGCTTCTTTCCTCTCCCTGGATGTTCTTGAGCTACTAGAGATGAAGAACGACAAGCTCAAACCTTCAAAACCCTAAAAATATTAGTTTTTGGCAAAGCTATGCATTTCACTAACTAATGATTACACAACGGCATAATCAAGTTATGCTATGGCATAATACAATTATGTAGTTATTGTCAATAGGAATTATGCTCTAGTGTAATGTATAGATATTGGGGCGTAAATCTTAACTTTGCTTTACCTTAAATCTTTACTAACTTATGTACAGCATTTGACTCCTAATTTGGATTACCCAATAAAAAACATAACATCATTAAAATGTAATTTTAGCTTAAGTAACTGATTCATTTTAATAGAATAATATCAACTCTCCCTTCTCATTTTCATAAGCATTTTTCTTTACGTTTTCTCAAATAATGGTCTAGTTTTCCTCAAAATTACTTAGATGATTCCTAATTAATTCCAAAATCTCTAACAATGCAACATACACTATAAAAAACAGCAAATTCATGATGGAATAAATTTTTATTGCTAATCCATCACAAATTCATTGATAATTCTGTCGCTAATTTACTGATGAAATTTAGTAATGGAACATTCTGCCACTAAACCATTAGAAATAATTTTACTAATGGCATTTAGCGACGAAACTAAACTATCACAAATAACTTAGTGATAGAATTTTTTTGAAGTAAATGTCCGTCACTAATTTTTTGGATGTGTTATTCTCATTTTGTGAAAATATTTGAGACGAAAAATTCTGTCGCAAACCTTTCCATCGCAAATTGTTTTAAATTTTATTATATGATTTATAATATATATTTATATATGATTTATTTTAATAATTTATTATGATGAAATAAATAAATAATTTAACAATTATAATTTATTATTTTAAATTATTTAGATATTAATAATAATAATAATAATTTAAAATATATTTAATTATATTTTATAAATAGTAACATACCTAATTATTGTTATTTAAAAATAAAAATATTTTTAAAAATAATTTAAAAATATAAAATATTATATATATAAAAATTATAATATAATATATAGAGATAATAAACATAATAAAGTATTTCTTAATTATAATATTAGCTTTTCTATTAAAAATAATTTTTTAAAATTATGATATAATATAAAAAAGTATTAAATAAAAATTAATTTATTTTATTCATAAATAAAAATAATGTTAAATAAAATAAATATATTTAAATTATATATTTATTGATATATATATATATATATATATATGGGCAGTTATATATTATACATTTCATTTATCAATTAAAGACTAAACATATCCTTCAGCTCAATTATAAATAAGGTCAGATACAGAGGCTCATAAAGGTGTGAGATTGTGGGTTCAAATTTGGTCAAGACACATTTGAAGTTAATATATGACATAGAGGTGACATGGCAAGGATGTGGTGACACGGCGATGATGTGGTAGGGAGGAGATGATGAGGTGGCATTGGCCTACTGGGTGACATGGCAATGGCGTTTTTTTAATAGAATTTTTATTTGCAACGGAATGTATTTTGTTACAAAATTGGAATAGCTTATCCTTGTTTAGGGATAAAAATTTTCCATCCCAATTTTGTCATTAATTAGTAATGGAATTTTAAATTCCATCACTAATGAATTAGTGACGGTGTTTTTACTGAAAGACTTATTCCATTGCTAACCCATTTAGCAACGGAATTCGTATTAATTAGCAATGAAATTTTTCATCACTAATCCACTGTTTTGTTATAGTGATATAAAAATATTTGGAGTCATTATAACATATTTTTATTTCACCTTGAAGCTAAGTGTATGATGCATTAAATTGTTTCCTTGTACATGTTTATTTGTTTTTATCACTCAGTCTTTTAATTTATATAATTGAGACATTATTTATTGAAAATATTTTTGATCTTACATACTTTAAATAATGTTGTCTCTCCAGCTAAACATTGAGGGCTTTGTTACCAAGTTGGAGTTAGGGAATTGTTTGATCAATCTTTCTTTTGATGTAAACCTTAAATTTATGAATCATCTTTGTAAATTCTATTCCAGGTGTTACTTGTAGGTTATAGATAGAATCCTTGCCTTTATTATAGGAAAAATGACAATAAAATCTCTTTAAATTATGTAAATGACATTTTAATCCCTCAAAATGCTATAATTCCCCTGAAGTCCTCAGGGACTTTTCTATCATGAAAGAATTAGTAAAAATGACCGAATTGCCCTTAATTCAGGAATTCAAATACAAACTTGTGAATTGCTATTGCATTCTTGCAATTGACATTGATAAATCTGAGAACAAAACTTATAAATAGCAATTGATAATTACAACACTTGAGGAATATCATAACTTCAAATGCGAACTTATAAATTGTTAGTGAATTCTTGTAATTTTCAAAAGTTGTGATTTTTAGAACAAAACTTGTGAATGATAATTGATATTTGTAACACTTTAGGAATATCAGGATTTCAAATGTGAACTTGAGAATTGCTATTGAATTCTTGTGATTTTTTAAAAAAAGTTGTGAATGGAAATTGATATTTGAATTAAGAGTAATTTGGTTATTTATATTAATTTCTTTATGACAGAAAAATCCCTAAGGAGTTTAGAGGAATTATGACATTTTGAGAGACTAAAATGTCATTTACATGATTCAAAGAGATTTTATTATTATTTTTTCTTTATATATGATGTATATTTACTAATAAGGAGCAGAGCTCCTTGCTATTTGTTTTGCAATTTTAGAATTTTTGAGAAATCCTAATTAGAAAGGTGGTTATGCCAAAATTTTTACATAAAGATTATGAGTTTGATTTAAGTGAAAAATGTTGAAAGTATCCTATTTCTTATGTTAAATGTTCTTTGGTTAAAAATATGAGACTTCTTAAATACAGGCTTATAAAGAATGTGAGTTTTGCGAATCCATTCCTGACCAGTGACATCTTATTTTTTTGAGATGTGATAATAAATAGGCTCGGAGACAGTAGGTAGGTGATAGGTGATAACATGTGATGCCTCTCCTGGTATAATACCATGTCTCTTTAACCGTAACTTGCTCCTTTCCTTGCATAGAGGTGTTAAGATGGTAATCATGCCCATGACTCGTCACACAACTTTCTCCATGTCTCTACATTTTAGAAATATGCTTCATCGACACGTTTCCATCATGAACATTAGTATTTCACTTTTGACACTATCGTGATTTTTAGAAGCCACTACGTCTAAAATAAATAATTATTTCGTGGAAATCAAAATTTGGATCGGCTTTGTAAAATCCCATGGGCTGCCACGGCTCTTTGGTCGAGCCCACCACCATGAATATTGGTAATTAAAAAGAAACGATTTGTCCATTTTAAAAAAGATAATTTCACCAACATTAGTTTGCATTCTAATTATCTACTTGTTAACTAATATATATATATATATATAGTTAATATAAATAAAATACTAATTCATTATATCTCCAAAAGCAGTTCCATTAACAATTCACAATTGAAACAAGCGTAACGCATTGCTAAGCTACCATAATTAATGATTTTGTCTCGAAGGTTTAGAAAGATTACAAATTTATTGTTTGTTAATTTACATTGATAGCTATGCTTTTCTTAATTCAGGATGTCCAAGAGCCTTAAACTAATACCTCATGCTTTCGTTCATCATGATGAATAAGCATATTATAAATTTCTAGAAACTCAGCGTCGTTCAAGTCAGACACTTAGGAAATTTCATCATATATCTCCTGATGAATGATCTTTTGGCGGGTGGGCCTGGCGGGGAAGCTTCATCTTCCTCAGCAGAATTAATTATCTCGCACGAAAGATTCTGCTTTGGGACAGAAATATGAAATTGTTTACCTTCAATTGAATCATCGGTGGGATTTGTTGCTTCCTGAAACAGAAAGAATTAATTGAACCATCATAAAAGTGAGGATTATCATGCTGAAAAAAACATAATCCCAGATAATCTCTTAGGCATGTAAGGAACTTCCATAAACGGTTTGTCGCACATTTTGGATTCAGATATTCCGATAAAATAAAGCAGGCAGGGTGTGAGCGCTGATTTCAAAATAAGTAAATTATAAAATAGGTTTTAGGACTATTTTTCATCCTATGTTTTTTTTTTTTAAGGAGAATTGGGCACCTTTATGAAGGATAGGGCAATATCTCCCTTAGAAAAAAATTTTCAGGAGTAAAATCATCTTTCCATCAAAAACTTATCATCTTCTTCATTACTTACTGAAGTGTAATAGTTGTGGGGCTCACATATAATGACAACAAGACATTCTGATCCATTTTTATAATCTAACATGGGCCAAAAAGACTGGAAGAGACAGCAGCGGTCACAGGAATCAGGGCTGATCTAAGCGGTGAAATGCTGGCAAAATGAGTTAAAATACCTTGTTGTCACTTGGTATGACTCCCACAACTATTTTATGTCAGTAAATAAGGGTAAAAATGATGGTCTCTAACAGAAGGACAATTTTATTTCAAAAAAAAATTATTTAAAAGAAATATTGTCCACCCTTCTGTATATACTGCTCAGTGATTATTTAAAGCAGTTTATGGAAAAAAAATAATTTTTAACCCTGTAAAATAATCATCGTCCGCGAAGAAAAATCATATAATATTGATGCAATAATTGATTTTTATCAGTCCACTCTACTTGTTTGATTCAAAACTGTTTCTGACTTTGTATACGAGTTAGTTAGAACTTAGAACAAATATGGCATTTGGAATTGTAGACTCTTAGGTGATTGATCAAAACGATAGGAGGCAAAATCTATCTTATTGGCAAAGAGAGACATGTATAGTAGTATGTTTTTGGTGGTTTGATTTAAATATAACATTAATAAGAAATAGTTTGGGCATATTAAACCTATGAATTTTTTATAGAATTTATATATATTGAAATATTTTTTTAAAAATTTCAAGTATTTATCCTAGTTTCATTTTGGAATGATCTAGACACACACATAAATAATTCAAACTCTTCTTTATCCTTCATAAAATTTTCTTAAGTTAACATATTAGTCAACTGATTTTACTTTCTATATTTTGAAAATTTTAAATTCTTATATTATTATACATATTTTATTATATAATAAACACAGCGATCGAAGTACTTCCCAGATCATGTAAATGTCATACCTGACTAGTAGTCGCTCTCTCAGATGGCCCACGTTGAAGGCTGTTCGAGGGAGAAGGTGACTCGATAGTGTCGGGTGGCGTTCCATTGAGTAGGCTAAGTTTGCATTGGTAGGAGCATTTATAAAGTTAATAGAATTTTCAATTACAAAGCATCTAAACTATTAATTCATTGTCAAAAGATTCAGAGCTGATAAAGTATTGGAGATTAAAAAAAAAGTCACACAAAATTAAAAAATAAATCATTAATATATAGAGTTTGAGATATATCTAATCAAATTATTTAAGCTATTTTAATAAAATAAACTATTCATAAATATATTTAAAATAAAAAATTTAATATGATATTAAGAGTCATTTGATGAGGCAAAAAACAAAAAACAAAAAAGCGAAAAGATCGAGAACAAAAAAGGAATGAAAGATGAAAGGGGGAAAAAACAAGAAATAATTAATATTAGAGAAAGAGGCGCAAGAGGAGGAGAAGACGACAAATTGAAAAGGCCTTAGTCTTCTAAGACTAAAAAAAAAATGTATAAGCCGAGATAAAAAGAAGTCCCATATTCAGAAATTAAAAGATAAATCATAATCATAAATATATAATTAAAAGATAAATCATAACCATAAATATATAAAGATTGGGTCCATTGGGATGTGTCTAATTAAATCACTCAAATTATTATGGTAAAAAAATATTTTCAAACATACTTAATATAAAAAATTTAACAATAAGATCATATTCTCTCACTCTCTCTCTCTATATATATATTGTACCTTGCATCGTTAGTGATGAATTGTGCCCGTGAATCATTTAAGTTCTGATCACTTGGTGACAAACTAGGTTGTCCTCCCTCCTGAGCTTCAGAGCAGCTTGCGTTTTCCTTGAAGATTAGCAATTCGGTGTTTTGGATTCAATTCCACAGCAAAATCAAGTTAGCATCATCTATATTAATTATTGGAACTAGATTCAATTTAATTTGTCCAATATTAAGATTATGTTGGGTCAGACAAGCTCCAATTCAATTTAATTACAAGTTTTCCACAAGTTTGCTTTCTAAATGGATATAAGTTTCAATTTTTTGTCCGTAAATACAAATCAAGTGACTCTTTTCTTTTGCCATAAGGCTGAAATTGCTTGTCAAGACAACATTTAATTAGAAACTTGAAGAGATATTATATCTTTGTGAAGCTGAATTCTACAAGCTTTTTCATTGAATATATCGTATCTAATTAATGATAAGGATGTATATTACGCTACGTTGTTTAGATTGGAAAAAAAAAAAAGATCCGGATTTGGATCCATAAAAAATTATGCATCCAAATCTATATTTTATTATTTTCTTTGTACTTTCAAATCTCCATACACTCTAATTGTTTACAATGTTAGCCTGTTTAATCGTCTTATTCTCTTTTTATTTTAATTTCAATATTATCATATAGTTTTAATTTAGTTATAACTCAATCCTTAAATTTTAACTCGGTATAATTTAGTTCCTATAATTTTAACCATTTAAAATATTAGCATTTATATTTTAAAAAGTAAAATTATCAAGAGTAAAAGTATCTTGAAATTTAGGAACTAATGTTTTCAATTACTAAAATAATTGAGACTCAATTACAGTAAATTAGAGTTTAAGAATTAAGTTATAGATGAGTCAAAATTACAATGATTGGGTTATGAGTCAAAGTTCATGAGTTAGATGAGTTATAATCAAGTTAAAACTATATAGATTAAATAATTAATTTTTTTACAATTTTTATACTATGCAATAAAAGATTTTAAATGTGAGATTTTAAATTTAAATCCAAATTCACGAAAGACAAAGGCTACATAAAATAAGAAGATAGATACTATATAGAGAAAGTGATTTACTTGATGGTCGACGTGCAATTCCATTGCTAAGCGGAGCCTTTCAAAATCCGTCTCGCTCATGACCCGCCACCCGCACCAAACTTTGAGTTCATCTTTCCTTTCAATTTCAGCGTCAAATTTCAAGTGAAGCCGGCTATAATCCGTTGATAAACTCGAGCAAGTTTGCTTCCCAACCTTCACAAACAATATCCAAAGGTGGGGAGAATTTATTGGCTTCTCCAGTTTTCGATCTCTTTCTTGCAAGAACACGAACTGATCATCGGAAGCTTTAGCAAAATAATAGCGCCAGCAAAATGCATTTTGGAAGGCTTCAGTGGAATAAAACATATCATTTTCTAGGACAATGCATAATGCAAATCCAAGCCAATCAGAAGAAGGGACGTCAACGATGATTGACCTTTCACCTTCCTCATTCAGGCGAAGGGATTTTTGGCTCTGAAACCAAGATGGTATTTCACTCCCTGGAATAGTGACCGAAAAGGTTTTAATTGACAGTGATGCCCTTGAGTCAGCATCCAAACTATGTGATATGCTTTCCGCGTATTGTCCATTCTACAATAACGCAAATTTGTCATGTATTGAAGAATACATACAATGAACAATAATTAATATGTTTGTGTATGTTTGTGTGTTTGTTTGGTTATTTGTGTGTGTGTGCGCGTGTGTGAATTATAAATGGATATATAGACAAAAATGTATACCTGATTCACTGAATCCAAGAGATGCAATAAGCTTTCATCCGACAAAGTTGACAATGAGGTACAACCTCCCGCATCCACTAGATCTAAACTAGGTGGAGGTCTGGGCAACGATAGAAGCATCGAGCAGGAATTCAAATATAGAAATTGTAAATTCGACAGACTCGACATGCAGCCATACGGTAGGTTCTCAAACTTGTTGCCACTTAGATCTAGTTTCCTCAACAATGACAAGTGACCGAGATCTTCCAGAATGAATCCATCAGGAATATTGCACCCGCTGAGATCTAATTCTCTAAGTGATTTAATTCTAAAGATAAATGTAGGTCGCGGCGTGATCAATGATTTGGATTTTGGTCTTCTCCATTGATGAAATGACGTCCTATAACCAATAGAAGGAGGTCCTTCTATGATAGCTGTTCTGCTTGCATCAAGCTTTTCTAAAGCTTCATTTTTTTCCAAGTTTTTTGGTAGTTCAGAAAATTTTGAGCATCCAAAAATATCCAAAACTTTCAGGCGCCTCAATTTGTGAATGTCATGGGGAAGGCCAACAAGATTTTGGCAACCCCTTAAATCCAAAGTTTCTAGATTAATTAGGGATACCAGTGACTCAGGAAGTTTGGCTATACCTGTCTCCTTAACATCAAGAACTTTGAGATTTCCCATGCATTCCCCAAAATTTGGAAGTTTTTTAACTTTAGTGCAGCCACAAAGAACAAATACTTCCAGAGATGCTATTTTCAGCTCTCTTGGAAGGTATTTAAGATTTTTGCAATCTCTAAAATTTATCTCAACAAGACTATGGAGCTGGCCAAGCGAAGGATGAATGCGAACGAGCTTTTGGCATCCTTCAAGAACTAATCTATGAAGTTTTTGAAATTTTGAAAAATCTGGAGTTCCAGTGAGGTGTTTGGAATGGCTCAAGTCCAAAAACTTCAGGTTATCCATCTGATCACAAAAATAAATATGGGAGAAATAAGCTGTGAAAAAACACTACTTTGCTTAATCAATTGTGTGAGAATGATCAAAATAACTTACACTGCAACCATGCCCCAGTCGCTTTATTTTGGTATTTTGCAGTTTGAGGTATATGAGTTCATCTAGTTTTGCACCCGACGGGAGACTTTCTAGAGGATATTCATACCAATCGAGAACTTTCAACTCGCGAGGTAAGTCTTTGAGACCTGAGAGAAGGTGAACGTTACATGATATGACGAGTAATCGAAGGCTTCCCATTTTTGAAAAGGCCGTTCGAATCCACCGTTTCTGAATTCTGTCAAAGCTACTTGGCAAAGCCACGCCTTCCTTCCTCTCTGTTTCATCTTCGTCAAAGAAAGGCAAAACCACACCTTCTGTCACATTAGTTCCCTGATGAGAAACATTGATCGCCAGGAAGAATATCAGAAGAAAGGTTAATGAGATAAAGGCGTATAAAAATTCAGCAAGAAGAAATAAGTAACTAATTACTTACCTTATTTTTTGCTAGTACTTCATCAATTTCCTTGGCACACCACAATCTGCTGCGCTCTTCAACCTTTTTAGGAGATTCCTCCCAAACAATACTCCTACCCATATCTTGAATCAAACTATGCATCTTTATATACTTGGCATTGCCAATCTCAACTTCAGCTACCAAAGATTTTTCAACGAGTCTTCCAATTGGTGCGTGAAGACCACAATTATTCAATATCTGCCTTACTTCATTTATTCCCCACTTATTAAAAAAACATGCAATATCTAAAAATATTGCCTTTTCTGCAGGGCATAATGCATCAAAACTTATTTTGAGTTTCTGAAAAATTTGATTATTTGAATCTTCCTTCAACATATCCAGAGCACTTTCCCATTCATCTACACTTTTTCCACAAAAGAAGGAACCCAATGCAAGGAGAGCCAAAGGAAGGCCTTCTGCATAATTTATAGCTAATTTAGACTTCTCCAAAAAAGCCTCTTCAGGGTAATCTCTTCTAAATGCTTTTTGACAAAAGAGTCGAAGAGATTCATCCTCGTTCATAGGTTGAACCTCATATATTGAGCCCACATCATGTGATCTAAGTAAGTGGAAGTCTCTAGTAGTTATAATAACCCTACTCCCAGCACCAAACCACTCTCGCCTAGCTAACTCCGTTATTTGTTCGCTAGAAGTTACATCATCTAGGATAAGCATAACCTTTCTCTCGCGGAAATGTTCTTGTATTATATTTCTTACTACGAACGTATCCTCGGTTTCATTGTTTTTTCCCCTGAGAAGTGAATGCAATCTTTTTTGCAAGCTAAACAGGCCACATCTTTCTGAATCCTCCCTAACATTGGCGAGAAAACAATGAAAGTCAAATTCGTCATGCAATTTCTCATAAATAGCTCCTGCAAGAGCTGTCTTGCCAACTCCGCCCATACCCCAAATTCCTACAAACTTAACATCATCAAGGTTCTTATAATTCTTCAAGTGTAATTCTTCTATTTCATGAATTCTCCTGTCAATACCAATTAGTTTGTCACTGCTGGTATGTGGAAACTTACCATAAATTTTGTCCGATAACTTTTCAACCACATCATCAACTAGTCTTGATTCGTACCTACAAGCACAACATCATAAGAATCGGTTCCCTTGTAATATATTTAATATACATACGAACTCACAGTTAAGATATAAACTTGTGGAAGAATAGTAGTTAAATTCCAAAAGAGAAAATTAACGTATAAAAAATTTTTTTTTTTTTGATCGCTCAACACTAGCCCTTTTCACTAGACTTGTCAACCCTGATTGGTTGTAAATAAAATATTTAAATTCTAAATATAATAATCCGTTTGTAATTTGAATTTTTAATTGTAACGTTTGAATTATCAGAGATTTAACTGTTATTAGTTTACTCTTTTGGGGCTTATTGTCATTCTCTCTAAAATTTTTTGAACAAAGTCTCCCTAATTTTTTTAACATATTAACCCGCCTTCTGAATGAAAACACTGGATTCGAATCAATATTTTTTCCTTTTGAATTTTAATGTTTATAGACCAAACATGAGCCCCCATAGGTCTTTTAATAGGAGAGCATAAATTTCAATGGTAAAAATTAATATTTTAGCTTGGAGAGAGAAATATTTTATTGTTAATACAACGAGTTTTTAATTTGATGACAAAAATTTTGTAATGAAAGAGAATCACATTCTAAAAATTTTAACTGAGAACAATACTTTTTCGTATTTATAATAACTTTATAATTTTGTAATGAATACTTTTAACTTAAATATAATCACGAAGACTTTCTCCAACGTGTTTGACAATAAACCGTTTTTTGAATTGCGGACATGAAGGGGAGGGAAAATAGGCACAACTTAAAAAACAAAAAAGGTTGATTACGAATTTGAGAATACGAAGTGTAACACTTTTTCACAATGAAATGTTCAAACTCAAGATGGAAGTTTTTTTTCTCCCTCTTTGAACAAGAACGTGTGGACCCATCCTTACCCAAAAAAAAAAAAAACATGTGGACCCGTTTTGCAATGTTGCATGTATTGACATAGAAATATAAACGATGTTATATAATTTAATCAGGAAAAAAAAAAAACATACCACTCCTTGGATACCCAACCAGCTAAAGCAGCAAGTTGTTTTAGAGAATCTCTCCATTTTTCGACCTTGTCATTGTCGAACCTCTCTTTAAGGCTATCAAAACCTTCACCGAAACTTCCTTCTAACTTTCTTACTTGAGAAGGATCTACATGATGAAAGATGGGAAAAACTCGCAGATGCAGTTCATTTGATCTAGAGGTAAAAATAATATGTTGGAGCTCATCTAAGCACCATGAAGAAGAGGCATAATTTTCGGACACAATAACAATTGCAAAGCGAGATTGCTCAATGATTTTTAGGAGTTTCTCCGAGATAATTTCTCCCCTCTCAAGCTCTTCCTCATCTCTAAAGACTTTAAATCGGCCTGTCTTGCATAGCCCAGAATACAAGTGATCTGTAAAGTTTCTACGAGTGTCTTCACCCCTAAAACTTAGAAAAACATCATACTTACAATTCTGGGCTGAATTGGAGTTAGAAGAATTTGAGGAATGTGCTTCTTGGCCACTTGCCATTGGAAGAATTTGGCCCGAAAAATTTAACTGGAATGTAATTTGATGAACCAACAGTATACTTTGTGGCCTGCAAAAAAACATAACCAAATGATTAGATAAAGGAAAAAAAAATCAAATATGAAATGAAATAATAGAAAAAAAAAAGGTGAAAGAAAAAGGCGCTAGGTCTAGATCGATGTCTAATACACTGACCCACCTCAATGCTGCTCAAGTAAAAACTCTAAACATCAATGCTTGATATATACTAGATCTTTACCGGATGGCAACTTTAGAATTGACTTCAAGTTGGCAACATTTTACCGGATGGCAACATTAGAGTTGATTTGGAGTTGGGAACATTATAGAGAATTACCGGATGGCAACATTAGAGTTGACTTGGCGTTGGCAACATTAGGTCTTTACCGGATGGCAACATTAGAGTTGATTTGGAGTTGGCAACATTAGGTCTTTACCGGAAGGCAACATTAGAGTTGACTTGGAGTTGGCAACATTAGGTCTTTACCGGATGGCAATATTAGAGTTGATTTGGAGTTGGCAACATTAAAGAATTGGAGTATCTTTACCAGATGGCAACATTAGAGTTGAGTTGGAGTTGACAACATTAGGTCTTTGCCGGATGGCAACATGTGAGTTGAGTTGGAGCTGGCAACATTAGGTCTTTACCAGATGGCAATATTAGAGTTGACTTGCAGTTGCCTTGCATCCGATACGTAAAGATCTAATGTTGCCAAATGCAAGTCAACCGTTGCACTAGTATATATCAGGCATTGATGTTTAGAGTTTTCACTTGAGCAGCATTGAGGTGAGTCAGTGTATTAGACATATAGATCTAGCGCCTTTTTTATACCTTGTTTCTGTTATTTTCATCTCATATTTGATTTGTTTTCCTTTAGCTAATGATATGGTTTTGTTGTTTGTAGGCCCCAAATTATTCTGCTTCAAATACGTTCTCAGTAAAATATTTTCTGGCCAAAATCTTCCAAATGGCAAGTGACCATGAAGCATGTTTCTCAAATTCTTCTTCTAACTCCAATTCGGCCCAGAATTGGAAGTATGACGTTTTTTTAAGTTTCAGAGGTGAAGATACTCGTAAAACCTTTACAGACCACTTGTACACTGGGCTATGTAGGCGAGGATTTAAAGTTTTTAGACGTGACGAAGAACTCGAGAGGAGAGAAATTATCTCGGAGAAACTCCTAAAAACCATTGAGCAATCTCGCTTTGCAATTGTTATTGTGTCCCAAAATTACGCCTCTTCTTCATGGTGCTTAGATGAGCTCCAACATATTATCTTTACCTCCAGGTCAAATGAACTGCATCTACGAGTTTTTCCCATCTTTCATTATGTAGATCCATCTCATGTAAGAAAGTTAGAAGGAAGTTTCGGTGAAGGTTTTGATGGCCTCAAAGAAAGGTTCGAAAATGACAAGGTCGAAAAATGGGGAGTTTCTCTAAAACAACTTGCTGCTATATCTGGTTGGGATTCCAAGGAGTGGAGGTATGTATTTTTTTTTAATTATTAGATTATATAACATCTTTTATATTCTTATATTAATTCAAGAAACAATATAGACATACCTGCGTGTTTTTTAATTGCCCCACATGTTCTAGTTCAAAAAGGGGGGAAAATCTGTCATTCTGAGATGGAACATTTATTTGTTAATAAGTACTGCGCTTCGCATTCTCAAATTGGTAATCAGCCTTTTTTTTATTTATTTATTGTTTCTCTATTTTTTCTTCCCTTTCATGTCCGCTATTATTCAAAAACAAAACTGATTGATTACAGTCAAAAAAAATTTCTTTTTTTTGGGAGGGGGGTTGGTGGGGAACCTTCGTGTTTTTATGTAAGTTAATAGTTTCATTACAAAATTTTATAATTATTATAAATACAAAAAATTATTGTTCTCCGTTAAAATTTTTAGAATGTACGTAATTCTTTCATTGCTAAAATTTTGTCTCTCTCTTCCCCCCCCCCCAACTAAATTATTAATTTTTACCATTGAAATTTATATTCTCCCTATAAAAGACACATGTGGACTCATGTTTGTTTAACTTATCATCTATCTAGACGTCCTATAATTGTTTATAAACATTAAAAACTCAAAAGGAAAAAATATTGATTCAAATCCAGTGTTTTAATTGATAAGAAGGCTAATCTTAGCCTTTCATTTCATTTAATTCTAGATGATTTTTTCTGTTCATTTTAAATTGATCTTTAATGTAGGTATTTTAAATATTGTATTTATCAAAATAAAAATTTATAAAGATTATAAAAAAATTAATATTAAATCTGGACTAATTTTTGTTTTCTTCAACGGATGAGCTGTACTCATCACCTCTGATGAGACCCGAACCATCTAAACTTAAATTTTAATTTTTTATTGTATATTTATCAAAAAAATTTATAAATTGTTTTAATAAATTTTTTCATCATCCCAATTTAATATTAAAATTTTTCATAATTTTTATAAATTGATTATCTAAATGTATTATAAATAATATAGATATAATGTTGATGATCCAATTTATAATTAAAAAATTTTATAATTTTTACGTATTAAATATCTAGATGTACTGTGGATAGTTCATGTTTAATATTAAATTTTTTATGATTTTTATACATTTTTATTTTATTAAATATAATATAAGAAATACCTAAAAATCGATTTAAAAAAAATGAAAGGCTAGATCAGCCAATGAGTACTCGTCAAGCCAAATGTGGACGTGTCGAGTAATAAATTATAAAATTTACCTGTTGACTGTGAGTTGTATACATATTAAATGTATTAGAAGGGCACCGATTATGATACTGTGCTTGTAGGTACGAATCAGAACTTATTGACGAAGTGGCTAAAAAGATGTGGAACCAAGTTTATGGTAAGTGGCCACCAACCATCAGTGATAAATTAATTGGCATTGACCGGAGAATTCATGAAATAGAATTTCACTTGATGAAGAAGCTTGATGATGTTAAGTTCATGGGAATATGTGGCAAGGACGGAGTTGGCAAGACAACTCTTGCAGAAGCTATCTATAAGAGCTTCTGCAGCCAATTTGATTTTCATTGTTTTCTCACCAATGTCAGGGGTGATTCGGAAAGATATGGTCTGTTTAGCTTGCAAAAAAAACTGCTTTCACATCTCCGGAAAGAAAACATTGAAATTGAGGACACGTTTAAAGTAAAGAAGATGTTACAAAACCATTTGCTCAATAAGAAAGTTATGCTTATCCTTGATGATGTAACTTCTAGGGAACAATTAATGAGCTTAGCTAGGCTAGAGTGGTTTGGTGTTGGGAGCAGAGTTATTATAACTACAAGAGACGTCTACTTACTTAGATCACATCACGTGGACTCAATATATGAGGTTAAACCAATGAACGAGGATGAATCTCTTCAACTCTTTAGTCAAAAAGCATTTGGAAGAGATCACCCCGAAGAAGCTTTTTTGGAGATATCTAAATTAGTCATAAATTATGCAGAAGGCCTTCCTTTGGCTCTTCATGATTTGGGTTCCCTCTTTTGTGGAAGAAGTGTACATCATTGGGAAAAGGCTCTGGGTATGTTGAAGAAAGATTCAGATAATCAAATCTTTGAGATACTGAAAATAAGTTATGCTACATTAAAATTTGATGAGAAGGCAATATTTTTAGATATTGCATGTTTTTTTAATATGTGGAAAATAGATGAGGTAACTCAAATATTGGAAAGTTGTGGTTTTCACGCAACAAGTGGTATCCGTAGTCTCATCGAAAAATCTTTGCTAGTTGAAGTTGAGATTGGCAATAGCAAGTATATAAAGATGCATAATTTGATTCAAGATATGGGTAGGAGTATTGTTTTGAAGGAAGCTCCTAATCATGTTGAAATGCGCAGCAGATTGTGGTTGGCCGAGGAAATTGATGGAGTACTAGAAAATAATATGGTGAGTAATTAATTACTTATTCTTTGATATGCCTTACCGTCTTAACTTTTCTTCTAATGTTCCTCCTGGCGATCTGTTTCTCATTAGGGAACTGATGCAACGGAAGGTGTGACTTGGTCTAATAATAGACCCGACAGAATTCAGAAAAAGTGGATTCCTAATGCCTTTTCAAAAATGAGGAGCCTCCGATTACTGATCATATCATGTAACGTTGACCTTCCCCTAGGTCTCAAAGACTTGCCTTGCAAATTAAAAGTTCTCCAGTGGTATGGATATCCTCTGCCAACCCTTCCGAGGGGCATACAACTGGATCAACTCATATATTTCAAAATGCAAAATAGTGAAATAAAGCAACTGGGGCCTGGTTGCAGTGTAAGTTACTTTGATCATTCTCGCATAACTCAATTGATTTAGCAAAGTGATTTTTATGGCTTATTTTTCCCATTTTTATTTTTGTTATCAGATGGATAATCTAAAGTTTTTGGACTTGAGCCATTCCAAACACCTCATTGAAACTCCAGATTTTTCAAAATTTCAAAAACTAGAAAGATTAGTTCTTGAAGGATGCAAGAAACTTTTTCTCATTCATCCTTCCCTTGGCCAGCTCAAAAGCCTTGTTGAAGTAAATTTTAAGGATTGCGAAAATCTTGAAACCCTTCCAGGGGAATTGGAAATGGCATCTCTGGAAGTGTTTGTTCTTTGTGGCTGCACTAAAGTTAAAGAACTTCCAAATTTTGGGGAATGTATGAAAAATCTCACAGTACTCGATGTTAAGAAGACAGGTGTAGCCAAACTTCCTGAGTCAGTTGGATCCCTAATTAATCTGCAAACTTTGGATTTAAGAGGTTGCCAAAATCTTGATGGCCTTCCCCATGACATTCATAAATTGAAGCGCCTGAAAGTTCTGGATATTAATGGTTGCTCAAAATTTTCTGAACTACCAAAAAAGTTGAATCAAAATGAATATTTAGAAAAGCTTGATGCAAGCGAAACATTAATCATTGAAGTACCTTCTTCTATTGGTCATTTACAACAACTCAAGACGCTATCATTTCATGGATGTAAAAGGCCAATAAATTTGAGCTTAAGATTGCCTACTTCTGTCTTCAATATTAAATCACTTACGGAATTAGATCTCAGCGGGTGCGATATTGAAGATGGACTCATTCCGGATGATCTCGATGGCTTGTCATCATTGATGAAACTAGATCTAAGTGGGAACAAGTTTGAGAAAATACCTTATGGCTGCATTTCGAGGCTGTTGAATCTACGATTTCTATATTTGAATTCCTGCTCAAGGCTTCAACTATTGCCCGAACCTTCACCTGGTTTGGAACTAATGGATGCAGGAGATTGTACTTCATTGCCAACTTTATCAGAAGGAAGATTATCGCATCTCTTTACTTCAATTGATCAGGTACATGTGCATATTTGTCTATATATCCATTCATATCAATCCATATGGTGTCTGGTTCAGAGTGGATTATTATTGCATCTCATTGGTTCGATTGATCAGGTATGGATATTTGGCAAACGCACACGTGCATGCTGGCCTACTCGCCGCATTTGTTAATTCTTTGTCAATTGTATATATTCTTTAACATAGGACCTGACAAATTTGTGTTGTAGAATGGACAATACGCAGAAAGGAAATGGCATAGATTGAACGCTGACTCATGGGCATCACTATCAATTAAAACCTTTTCGGTGACTATTCCAGGGAGCGACATACCATCTTGGTTTCAGAATCGAACAACCCTTCGTTTGGATAAGGAAGATGAAAGTTCAATCATTGTAGACGTCCCTTCTTCTGATTGGCTTGGATTTGCAATATGCACTCTCCTAAAAAAGGATATGTTTTATTCCGCTGAAACATACCTAAATGCATTTTGCTGGCGCTATTATTTTGCTAAAGCTTCCGATAATAACTTTGTGTTCTTGCAAGGAAGGGATCGAAAACTGGAGAAGCCAATAATTAATCCTCCCCACCTGTGGATCTTGTTTGGGCAAATTGGGAAGCGCACTTGCTCGAGTTTATCAAAGGACTACAGCCGGCTTCACTTGAAATTTGATGCTGAAATTGAAAGGAAAGTTGAACTAAACGTTAGTTGTGGGTGGCGGGTCATGAGCAAGATGGATTTTGAAAGGCTCCTTTCAGGAATGGGAATGCACGACCATCAAGTAAATCACTTTCTCTGTATAGTGTCTATTTTCTTATTTTAGCTTAATTATATTGTTTTTAGTTACTATCCATATCCTCAACATTAATAATGAGCTACGATGGATTTGATGTCAACGAAAAAGCATATATAATTCACCCAAATATATATATGTATATATGTATATATGTCCATGTTTCAAGTGTTGTCTTGACAAGCAATTTGAGCCTGATGGCCAAAAAACGAAGAGTCTCTTGATTTTAATATATGGACAAAAAGTTGAAGCTTATCTTCGTTCACAAATGACTTTCTTTTCTTCGTTTTATACTCTTTGTTGCATTTATTTTTTATATTTATACGATTTGATTGAAGAGAGGAACTCCTCATAAGCTGTCACTAAATATAACTATTTGATTATCGTGCAAATTAGTGTGTGTGTGTATTTTGACCTGCAAATTCGTATATATATACATATTATATTGGACAAAGTAAATTGAATCTAGTTCGAATAACATAGAAGATGCTAACTTGACTTTGCTGCGAACTTGAATTCAAAACACCAAATTGGTGATCTTTCAAGGGAGACACAAGCAGAGCTCTGAAGGTGAGGAACAAGGACAAGGGAGTTTCTCACTAAGTAACACGATCGAGTCACCCTTTCCATCTAACAACCTTTAACCTGGGCCATCCGAGAGCCCGACTTCTAGTCAGGTATGACATTTACTCCTTTATGTCTCATTTATAAATACGAGACAAAAAAAAATTTTAGGTCTTATTTATAAGTCATGTCATTAATTTTTTATCACAAGATCCCTTTTTACCTGTATTAAATACTAATGAAAGAAAATACGTTATTAAAATATGTATATTTAGGTGGGGCAAAGTTGAAAACTTACATATTGTATATTTTGAGAAATTAAGTTAATGAATCTTAAGATTTTCCTTGATCAGATAAAACATGTTGAAATTAATATACAAATACTACCAGAGGGAGTATATGATGCTTGAACTACTATGCTATGTTCGTCCTCTCATTCATTTTGCTACGTACTTCGAAGTGTATTAGCCTAAATTATTCTGATATAATAATTCTGAAATCAGCTCTCATATCCTGCCTGCTTTATTTATGTAAGAGACTAACTTGGGATTGAGTCTTCTAAGCATGGTCCTCACGTTTATGCATCGATGGTCATTCTGTAACAGGAAAGCATCAATTTCCCCAGATGATTCAATTGAACGCACACAATTTCATCTTTCGTGGGAGAGAAATCTTTCTGTTGGTGATGATAAACCTCTGGCTAATACCATTTACCGCCAGACTCTGAACAAACAAGTACTCAAGAGATATATGATGAACTTTCCAAAGTGTCTGACTTGAACGACATTGAGTTTTAGGAATTTATAATATGCTTATTCATGATGAAAGAAAGTTTGAGGCATTTCGACATCCTGAATTAAGAAAAACATGGCTGTTAATACAAATTACTAAATAGTACCTTTGTAATTCTTATAAATCTTTTATGACAAAATCATTAGTTGTGCTAGTTTATCATTGTGTTATGCTTGTTTCAAATACGAATTGTTGATGGAACTGCATAAGGGTGATCAAAGTTATGGGTTCGTTTGATTTTGATCAAAACATGAACCAGACCAAATGAATCAGTTTGAAGAAAAAATGACGTTTGATTGCCTTTTTTAATTAAAGATCAGTTTTGTTTGGTTTGGTTTGGTTTATGCATAAATCGAGCTTCAATATTTTTTTAACATATAAAATCATATATTAAGGTTAAGCATAATTTTTTACTCTCTTTTTTTTTCATATTTCAACTTCAAGTCACATTTTTAACTTTGTCATTCATGAATGGAAACGAACATCATATCCAAAATAAAAATATTAAAATTTCATTCTCAATAAACACCCTTGGTAACACAAGTTATAAATTGCATCAATAGTGCATTAAAGTGTGTGTCTGTATTTGTAAATAATGAAAAGTATTGTGGTATATAATGAAAAGTAATTTATTTTAAATCAAAAAGGGAGAAATTCTATATCTAAAATTTATCTAAAAGATCATTACACGAATATATGCATTTGACTCTCTAATAGCAAAATTTAGAAAGGAAGGGTTAAGGATTCTATTAAAGTATTTTGGGTTCGGGTTGGACTTTTGCTAAAGTAAAAATTAAAAAAAATAAGCACTAATAGTCTAATATTAATGATAAAAAATACATTTAAAATTATAAAAGGCATGGTTCAAATTTGGTTAAAATTTCAAAGAAAAAATTAAAACTTGAGCCAAACCATTTAGTTTTGAAATTTATAAAACTAAACCAAGCTTTACTAATGATCAGTCTTATTCAGTAATTATTGCATTATTATGGATTTGTCACATTCCAAGATTTAGGTGTAACTAACACGGGATATATGCATAAAATTTCACATCTCTTAAGTCTTAACTCAAGAAATTTCTAATCGTAAACCATAAACATACTTGACATAAGATTAGGCCCATTCTTGTAATAACCTAGGAATTAAAAAATTAAATTAAATATATTATTGTGTTTTAATTGTAGTTATATTATTTTTGGGACAATTATGACAAGAGGGAGTGCTGGTGTAGTGGAAGTGTGCATATAAAGTATCCCTTAGGTTTAGAGTTTGAATCTATTTGAGCATATGGGGATATTTTTTGAAATTATTTTCAGCCTTTAAAATTACCAAAATGCCACCGGCCTATCAGATATATTTTTTTCTCTTCCTTCTCCTTGATTAATCACGTTTCTACATCATAGGGAGGGAGAGAAAAATCTGGAAACCTCAGGTGCGGTCTCTATCTTTGTTCCTTCTCTGAACAATTTTCTCCATTCACTCTTTTTGTTCGTGCGTGGTGATGATGTAAGGAGCTGATTTGGTGTCATAGGAGGTTCATATTAGGAGATTTAAAAGCTAGATACCATTGTCTTCTTCCTCCCCTGTTGAGCTACAAGAATTCCATCTCCTCCTTTGTTTCTAGCTCTAATGGTTTAAGGTAGGAATTCCAGATCTTTTCCTCTTAATTGTCTTCATGCCTTTATGGGTTTATGTTGTAATGAATGAGATTTTGATGCTTTTGTGGGCTGCTGTGTGTACGTGAATAAGGAAGATAAATTCATTAAGTTGAAACTTTAGGTATTAGGGGGAAGAGGATGATGGTGTGGATTGAAGCTCTAATTAAATTTGATTGGTTTATTGGTTATAATATTGATATAAAAAAATTTGGAAGTATTAAATTGAAGAGGAAGAGGTTGGTATTTGTTTAAGGAATCGGTACCGATAAGGTGTTTGATAAAATGTTCATTAGAAAAGCTTTGCTTGAAATTACAATTATTAAAATCTCATTAAATTCATTGAAAGATATAATTGGTTGGGATGCTATTATCTTATGAATTTAACTTTAAAATTTCAAGTAAGTAGATATTTTTCTATAACCTTATTAGATCTCACAAGAAACATAAATTGACTTGGGTGTTGTTCATTTGTGAAATTAAATCGAATATTGTGAAAAAATTTATCTACGTTATTGAGAGATTAATTAGATTCTCAAGAGTTTTATGTTTGATAATTTATAAACTATAGCATTGTCATATGATTTAATTTTTGGACTTGTATGTTATAGGAGTATACTCAATATTTTAGTTAAGGGGAGTATACATATGAGGTAACAACGATATTAGAGAAGCGTTTAAGACATGGATTGTGGTGTTTTTTTTTTTAATTTTTTTATTGTCATAGTTAATTAGGGTTTGTCTTAATTGATTTAATTTCTTCACATGTAAAAAAATATACTCATATAGGGTGTTTAGAGGAAGAAGATCTTGATAAAAATGATAAAGAGTAAAGTTGGGAAGACTTATTAGGTAAGTGGATAACGTTCCAATCAATTTATATATTAGAAAGTTTTCTTTATCAAAATATTGTTTTCCACAATTTACATATATTTGTATATTTCTATTGCTTTATTACTTCTATTAATTAAATTGTTTTGCTTCTTGAAGTCATGATTTATATTTTTCATATTGATGAAAATGCTTTTATAAATTTTAGTAGTTCTATATATGATAAAGCCAACTATGAAAATTTGTGAACAGTTTATGAGATATTAATTGTGAATTTTCATATTTAGAAGTATTGATGTTTTTATATGTCTCATGCGAGTTTGATATTAAAAAGAGAAATTATATTTTGAAAGTGATGATTTTCTTGCATGTATGAAAATAGATTTAAAAAGGAATTATACACAGAACGCTAGTTGCTAATGGTAGTTCTATTGGCCCCTGGCTCGCCATTGTCAATTACTAGTTAGTTGATTTTCGTGAGCTTTGTTCTCACATCTGTTATTCACAGGTCTCGTACATGCGTATGTTTTGTGGCTTCAACCACATCTAGTTAGTTACTCTCATGGACTATGTGTCCACGTCTGTTTCATGGCTTCAATCATGTCTGATTACTTACCCTCATAAACTGTGTGTCCACGTCTATTTCGTGGCTTCGACCATGTCTGATTACTTACTCTCGTGGATTGTGTGTCCACATCTGTTTCCTCGCTTCAGCCGTGTTTAATTACTTGCTCTTGTGAACTGTGTGTCCACATCTGTTAATTGTTCTAACAAGTCCCTATAAAAATGAATTTTGATTATTTAATGATTTTATATCCCATCGATTTTTAATTAGTAATCTATTTATAATTACTTATTTCGTTTATTAGCTTCCTTGAAATCAAGTGATAATAATATTTGATATGATAATTTAATGGCTCAAGATTTTATCTAAAGTTATATAAAATCATTTTATTTTGAATTTATTTAAATCTTCATGGAGATCGTTGTATTTTTAATTTACATAATTGCTTTTAACTTTTCTTTTATTTATGTTTAATTATTTATTTTGGGACATTATTCACTGAAGATAATTTTGGTCTCAAATAGTGTAACTAATGCTAAACCACTCACTGAACATTGAGGAGTTTATGATTGACTAGATGTGGAGGAGTTAACGATTAAACTTTCTCGTGATGTAAAGTTTTAATGATAAAATTTTATTTTGTAAACTTTTTGTTAGATGCTCCACATAGTCTATGATTAGGGTGTTTATATTGTTATATATATTTTTGTCTGTTAGCTGGAAGGAGCTCGGCTCCTAATTGACTTGATATTTTTTTGATTGAGATATTGTGTTGTAGAATTTTTAAGAGATCCTCTTTATAGAAGAGGTTCTATTAAAATTTCTACAAAAATATTGAAGTATTTTATTAATATCAAAAATATTTAAGCATGTTTTAATTCAAACTAAAGCATAATCATGTATTAGTTATGGAAAAACTACCCGAATTAAGGCTTAAGGGATGTGCGGTGGTTCACATTTGGTGCCGATCATCCCCTATTTTTAGAGCATGATATTTTCAATATATAAGTAACCAAACGCAGCTTAAGATTACGGAAACAAATATAAACATACAGTTTGCGAGGATAATACTAAACAAATGTGGCTCAAAGTCACAAAAATAAATGTAGGTGTTAGACTCATGAATAACAAATGCGAGTGTGATGCTCACAAAAATCAAACTAACTAGTCATAATTATAGCATGCCAAAGAATAACAAAACTATCATTAGCTGTAACATCCTCCCTCTCTAAGAAGTCTCTCAGAATTATTTTTGGGTTTAAGGATAGGATGAGATTGCGTTTAAGATGGTTTAAAACAATTTGAGCTCAAGAAAAAAAGAATCTAACATCTTAAGTCTTAGGACTTAATTAATATTAGGGACAAATTATCCCATGGTAATTTGAATTTACCACATAATTATTTGAGTAAGAAGAATTTTACGCTAAATGAGATAAATTTTAAAGAATTAGTTTGAAGACATATTTTCAATGAAGGGAAAATTTATAAAATTGAGTGAGATTAAATAAATAGAATCTTAACTCATTTAAGAAATTATATTTATTTAAATTTAAATGTTATTTAAATAATATTGAAACACTATATGGTTGAGATTTAATGTTTGGTTTTTTAAAAATAAATTATACTAGAAGATTTAAAAGTATAAAAAAAATCTGTCATATACATATATATATACACACACACATATAATGTGAAAATAAAATAGAAGAAAGAAAATAAATAAATAAATAAATAATAATAATAATAACAACAACATTTTAAAACAATAAAAAGAAAATATAATAAAGTAATGTACAAAACCAACAGTGGGGTCGTGGCCCACCGGCCACCGTTGGGTTGACAATGCCCTCAGCGGCGTCTCAGATAGCGATAGAGAGAACAGAGAAGAGAGAGAAAGCGTCACGCACGCTAGGGAAAATTGTGCAGAAGCTATGCTGGTATTTTCGGGCTTTCAAACACTGGATCAGTGTCCTAAAATTTTATTCTAGCTAATATTATTAGATTTAAGTGAATTTAAAATTTGAGAGAGATTTTGAGAACTGAATAGAGATGTTGAGTGGTAACTTTAGGCCTTTTTGAGTGTATGTTTGGTTTTCAATTTGTTAAATGTTTATTTAATAAAAATTAGTTTAGTGAAAATCAATTGTTGTAACAAAATTTATATTTGGATATATTTTTTCAAAAACCAGTTTGGCACACTGAAAGTTTTTTGGTTTATGATAGTAAAATGTACTTTTAAATTTACAATTACCAAAAAAGATATTGATTTATGATGATTTGTAATTTTTATTATACAAACGAAAATATTTAAAATATTTAAAAAATGTGATAAAAATTTTAAACAACATAAATTTTGATCTACAATACTAAAAATTTGATCTCTAATTATTTGTATTTTTTTATTTATAATTTTAAAAAATGTGATAAAGATTTGTAATTTTTATTATACATTAATGCTAAAAACTTGATACCTAATTATTATTATTAAAATAATAATTATATTTTTAATGAATCAACTATTTTTTAAATAAAAGAATAAGATATTAAACTTGATGTAGTATGGTCAAATAATATCCTGCTTCTCAAATCTACTTTTCAAAAGCTTCAAATAGTTACGTTTCAGAAATTCACTTCCAGCTACTGTTTGAATGTACTTTCAGAATGTGCTTTCCTGCAAAATATTTTACCCAAACAATTTTTGACTTTCAGAAAGTAAAATTTTACTTTCTGAATATGAAAAGCAAAAAAATAAATAGACCTTGAGATTATAGAAAGTAACATTATGCTATATTTGGATACATATGGATTTGAATTTGAATTTGAGTTAAATTCATTATTTGGGTAATTAAAAATGTATAAATTTAGATTTGACCTAAATCCAAATTTGAATTCTACCTCAATCTCTTTGTAATTTAAAATTTTGTCTAAACCTTTATTATTTCAAATTCTAACTCAATCTCTTTTGTAATTTGAGCCAAATCCACAAAGGCTTGATTGGCTTGCCAACGGTAATTGGACCGGATTACCAAAGCTGACAGAAACAAGCCGCCATCATTGATCGAGACCAGGCCATTGTTGGCCACCGAGACTACATTGCCAACTTCAACTAGGACCAAATGGCTGACTTTCATTGGGATGAACCTCTCACGCTGATAGGGACCAAAGTACAAGAAATAATCCAAACTAGATTGTCGACTTCCACCGAGATTGGACAAATGGCTATGATAGGGACTGGACTAACGATGACGATGGGGAAGGAATAGTCACCTTCCACTTGGACTGAACTGATAGCAACTTGACGGGTGACTTTCACTGGGACTAAACCAATGGTGACAATTAAGACCGAACGACTGACTTTCATTGGGAGTGGGCGGCCTGTGTTGACTGGGATTGGACAACCTCTTGCGACTAGGATTGGACCATCAGCACTGATTGTGACTGGATTGTCAACAATTCGATCTTGATCAAAGTCATTAACCCAATCTTAGTAGGCAATGACGATCCAGTCTAGGTTGCCTCCTAGTTGAAGTCGGTTGTTTAGTGCCAATTGTTGCCGTCAGTCTTGTCTTGGTGGAAGTCGGTTGTCCCATCCCAGTTGTTGCCAATGCTATAGTCCCAGTTGGCATTGGTCGTTTGGTCTCAGTGGAAGTTAGCGATTTGAACTATCAACTTTGACTAGGAACGGACTGCTGATGTCATCTAAGTTTCTTTTAAATTCAAATATAAAATTTAAAATTTGAAACTTTACTTTAGATCCAAACAAAGAATTTTAATATTATAATTTAAAATTTTTTATATCATCCAAACAAAGAATTTATGAATTTATGAATTTTAAATGTGATATTTCAAATATAAAATTTTAAATCCAAATTCCTAACTTAAATCTACCAATCCAAATGCAACCAGTAACTCTAAGAGTTGTAGAAATTATTTTAGAACTATTTAGAGAAATTTATAAATTAAAAGTAATTCTAGATAATAAATTATAACTAACTAGAATTTATTTTAATCATTTGAGAATTTATTAAAAAAAGTAATAACCGACTTAACACAAAAATTATTTTGGACAGTCCTTGGGATAGATTGAAATACTTTAAGGTTAGAAGAACCTTAAATAAAATTAAAAGAATTTTTGGAGTATTTTTAGAGTTATAGGTGACTCCCATGAGTACCTTGAGATAACTTTAGAGTAAGAAATAAATTTAATTTGATTTGATTTGATTTTAATTGCTCAATTTTACTTTTGTAAAGGTGTTAGAAGTTTTCTAGGGACTTCTAAATTCTTGCTTTGATGTTTGAGTTAGTTGGAAGAACTCTTGTAGAGAAACTTTATTAATTTTTTTTTTTTGAGTGAACTTGAGTCCAGATAACTTTTTTTAATATTACCTTATATACTAGTATGAGTAAATAATTGAACTTTTTATATACCAATATCAAATTAAACTTAAATAGCCTGCTTATAATAATGCTTCGCAAAAACTAAGCCTAGTGGTTAATAAATTAATTTTTGGTGAACATTTGGTAAAACTTTGGTTAGTGAAAAAACCCCTAAAAATCTTTATAATTGTTTTGTTTTTAATTTCTAGGATTGGATAGACCACATTGATAGTAATTTAACTGGTTGAAGTTTGGTTGAGTTGTTTGATTCATCAATCATCAACTATTGTACCATATACAAATCTTGTGGAATTGCATTCTGATTGGTCAATTTTTCTTCCTTCTTATTGGTGGGTTCACTTTAGATTAATTTTAATTCTCCTTAGTCGTTGGTTGGATGATTTTGGTCCAAGGAAAATTCTGTATGCTCATTGGTTGGTTCTCTTCTTTTATACTTCGGTCCAAAATATAAAACATTTTTAATTATAATTTAAATACTAAAAAAATTCAATTTTATCCTTATTTTTAGTTATAAATATCAAAAGTTTTTATTTTTACCCTTTTTCCCAACCCTTAATAATAAATTAAATGAGAGAGATAATATTTTTTTAATGAAGCACTATAAGATGAGAAAGCATGATTCTCCTTATAAATCAATAAAGTTTTAGTTATCATCAAGAGAAAAATATGATAAATATCAATCAAGTTACACAACAAATTAAGTCAATAAATACAAGGTAACATAAAAAAAATTCAAAACTTACTAAATATTTTATATTTTAAGTCAAGATGAGCAGAAACAATGTCTTATAATTTGGACAGCAAGAAATATGATATTATGTGCTGCGTGAGAGCGTTTTTGTTCCCAATACAAGTATATTTTTGGGTCTCTCTGTACTCTGGGTTTGAGAGTAATATATAAAGCAATCTGCTTTTTCACATGCCCAGATGGAAGAAGATGAGCCTTTGATCATCGATCATTTATCAGCAGTCGCTACCAGATGGTTCTGTTGCCAACGGTGGAGAGATGGGAACCCGTGCTTTGTATAACATGTCACTCGGCGCTTTGAATCATTTCTGTTCCTTTTCAGATTCCTCTGTTGTCGCACTATTGGTCAAGTTTTATATATCCTATCATCCGTTTTCGTTTTGTTTCTTCATACAGTTGCGACTATTTCCTAAAAATTATTCCACTTTTTAACTTTTAAGCGCTCATCAATGATTGCAGCTCTTTTCCGTTTGTTATCAAACCAGTAGTTATCAATTCTTTTTCCAATTCATCCGTTTTTGTTAGAAATATATAAACTGTAGTTTCTTATTAAAAGTCTTCCATTGGTGTTTTCTCCATTCTCCTTCCATTCGCTTATGGAGGAAGTCTGTTCATGTTAGTCTATTTCCTCTTAGCCTGTAGGTTTTCCTGATGCATTCTTCCATTTCTTCTTCAAATACTTCATAATATTTTTCCCTTGCAGGTTCCCACTGAGATATCATTCAGAGAGCTGTGCTTTGTAGAAGGGAGTATTCCTGTGTCTTGAATCCAGTTAACAGGTTCTTTTCATCTATTCTTCCTTCCATTTTTATACTTTCTTTATTTTTTAAAAAGTTTTCCATCATTTTTCCTGATCTTTTCTCCGCTCTGTTTTTCTCTTCCTTACCTGGCGTCGTTCAATCCAATCGGTGTAATATGTGTTTTTCTGTGAAGAAATTTTCTGTTGTTTGTATTTCCATATTGTTTTGTTCTGAAAGGTTTGACTTTTGACTCCTGGCGATTAAGGATCCGATTGCGGTTTGATTTTTGTCCTCAGCCTCTCCAATTTTGATTCACCATAAGTGCATTGTTATTTACCTGTATATTCTTTTTTCAATTCTTGTGCCAATTTTGTCATTGATTGCTCTCTCTTTTGTTTTAGTTTAATTCATTCGCATTCCAAACTCAAGTCTGATTTTTGAAACACGATGCCAGAGAAGGTTGATTTATTGTATCATCAATATCAGTAAGTATCCGGTTTTGCATGATATGACGCAATTATAAACTGATCAGTTGCATCTCTTCGTGTCCCACGTTTATCTTTTAACGTATTTCCATGTAATTAGTAATTACTAATAGATGATATGAGAGTTCGTTTAATATTATGATTTCAGGGAACCTTGATGGCTCTTGTATATGATTTATCATGTTGCTATTAGTTTGGTTTCTACTTTTACGTTTTATACTTCTATCCAATATTTGACTCATGCGAATAAATTTTCTTTTGTTGTATTTGTTATCGTGAATCATTAAAATGATATATATTTAATTATGTCAACCAAAACTAACAAATATCTCAAAAATTCAACAATAGGGACTAAATCAAGAAAGAGGATAGTTGTTTTGAAACTAAGTTCGGTGGTGAGCTTTATTTGGCATATCTAAAGACAGTGATCTCAAAATAAAATTTCACATTGTTACTCTCGGAACTACTGTGATGTGCATATAAAATTTTTCATGGTTTCAGTTGACTGATGATCAAGTAGATGATATAAAGGGTAATGATCATTTAAATGCTGAATCAGTGGATGTTGATCCTAGCATTGATGAGACAGGAGCAAATGGTGTTGAAGATAGTAACAATAGAAATGGTAAATTTACACATAAATCTGAGTATTATTTGGCTTATGATTACTTGGAGGAGGCTTTGGCGTCGTGAATTATTACTACTTTCACCTTCACAAGTAATACCAACTTGCACTGCAGTAGAAGGCTTAGGCATAGTGAATTATGGTTTTAAATTGGTCATAATTTCTTTGTAAGCATGAAGTTACAGAAAAATACACCCTCTTCCAAGCGCAGAAAGATTGCAGAATGAAGTTATTAAGTGGCTCAATTAAGATCTTCCTATTCTTTTGACCTTGTAGATTCTTGGGCTTGATATCTGCGCTGACACAATGGGTGGTGATGCATAAGATAAAGGCATTCCAGGTGGACAGAAGAACAGGCTTACAACAGGTATGTAGAAATTCACAAATTAACTTTTTTTTTTTTGTACTTCTTAAATTCAAAACATTCAAGATTTAGGTAATAAGTTTCATTCATGACTGAAAAATATGATAGAAGCACCTCCTCTTTACTAGACATTAAAATGAAGAGCTACTGGGACCTTTTGCCCTGGCTGAAATAAATATGTTCATCATACAGATAATTTTTTTCTTCATTGCTGGTCCCATAAAAACTGTGTTTATGGACGGAATATCAACTGGTTTGGACGGTTCTACAACTTCTCAAATAATTACCTAGTGCACAATGACAACTTGGGATCTAAATCCCCAGCTATATAATCTTTTTTCTCGGGCTTAGTCCCTTTTCTGTATCAAAAAAAAAAAAAATTTACGTGTCTCCAGTGGTCGGTACACATCATAGATGCAACTGTAGTGGTTTTACTTCTTCTGCCAGCTCCTGAAACCTTTGAATTATTTGATTATCTTATTCTGATAACAAAGGGGAAGATTGTATATCATGGCCTGTGCAGTCAAGCACTCCAATTTTTTGAGGAATGTGGTTTCAAGTGTCAGGAAATGAAAGGAGTAGCAGACTTTCTCCAGGAGTTGTTGGTGATCTTATGATGGAATTGTTGGTGTCCCCTCATGCTATGACTAATGTTCTCCTAGTCGATAATGAGCATGTTAAATAGTTTGGGTTTTTCAATTTAGAATATAAAATAACATCTAAGTTGCTCCTTTAACCTCTTGTCTTTTTGGTTGTGGTGTGGAACCGTAGATAGGTTTTGAAGCTTGAGATTGCATTCACTCTGAAAACATGAAGTTATATGCACAGAGGAACTATGTTCAGATTACCCTTTGCTCATGGATTCCTTTTGGTATGCAAAAAAGTACATTAGTTTCACATAATGAACTCAAGACTTGTGCTGAAGTAGTCATAACTTCTTACATATTACAAAAACAAGTCCTTGAATTCACCAAGTACCATGTAGTATGGATTTTGATCTTGATGCATGATAATTATAAAATTTCAACATGTGATGCTGACATTCATGTTGCAGAGATATTGACAAAGTAATGGGCACTCCCTCAAAAGTTAACTTGCCTGACAGAAAAAGCTGGTAAGTTATGATTGTATGGTATATTAGTAATAGTCAACCATTAAAAAAAATCCCTTCGATCTTTAATGAGATATGACTCTTTTTTACGAAAATGTTTCTCTCAATATCCAGGGGGTTTCTTGTAGGTGGTCGTCATGTATAATCCTCTTGCATGTTATCGATACTTCAACTTTTAGTGTTAACCTTGATAAGAATATTCAAAACAAGTTTCATCGTAGAAAGGGTATTGTTCATTTAGAGATGTCATATCTTGATCTGAAGACCTGGAGATGGGAAAAAATGATGGATCTGTTGTTCGAGGCTAAGCTTGGTGTTGCTGACAAGTACTTCTCAAAGCTATGTTTTTCCTTCTTTTGCATTCTCAAACTTGGTGTTGCTGTTGACTGGGTGAACTTACCTTATTCTTAATTCAGTTAGACTTATCGGCAAGGGGCTAGATGGGACTGTTTTCACGAGCCCAGGTACAAAAACATGGTAGTTCCAGGTAGTACCAGAAATCGATATCTTGTAATTTGGTACAAAAACATCCCAGTTAGGAGTGTCGTTTGGGTTGCCAACCGTGACAAACGAATCAAAGACAACTCTAGCATGCCAAGCATAAACAGAGGGACAAATCGTGATTCTCAACCAAAGTCACTTCCTGTTGTTTGACCCTTCTCCTGGACACTTCTTATGGGAGCTTGTAAATCATAATAACTCAGATATCAGCAGAGGGAATAGTGGCTGCATCATCTTGGTTGGAGATCTAAATGATGTAAGACAGGTTTCAGCTGCTGGGCAAGATCTATATATTTGGTTGGCTGTTCCTGAAATAGTTATGACCCTTTATCGATCATATGCTGATTATTTTTTGACAGCTTAACTACATTTTTCTGCGCATGGACTGTTAGTTTGATCATATGTGAGGCTGTGAAGATATGCATTTGTTTTGATCCGATCGTGTGGAAATTTTTAGAACTCGATGATATGTTTGTAGTAGATTTAAGTTTCAAGGTTTAATTGTCACACTCCAAAATATGGGAATGATCGGCATGAGAGATGCAACTACACACATTCCTTATGCCCAATTCAAGAAATGTTTTATTTTAAAAATATTTTTCATTTACATAAACCCTTAATATTTTTTGTGAAATATCTAACAAAATCTCTCTTCAGAACAGGATTTTCTTAAAATTTTACAATACAAATTTTTAAAAAAATATTATAACATTTAGAAGCTTAACTGCTTCCAACCAACAGACAAAATATTTATAAAATAAAGACCCTTACCATAGTTTATGTGGAGCACTTATAACATTATTTATAAAAGTACAATAGATAAATTAAAATTTTACATAAAAAAATAAAAATTAATTAAAATGGCGTCACAACTTCAATCCAGTAGCAAATCCCTTGAATGATTTGATCTGGAATCAAAAATATTTTTTAATGAATAACGTTTCAACTATAACATTTTGCACATTCAAAATGAATAAACTATAACATATACATAAATTAAAGAAAAAACAACATAATGTAAATAAATTTGTAAGTTTGGAATAAGTTTTATATAACTTCAATATCAATAAACTTTAAATTTATAATGACAAAATAATTTTGACATTTAATCTTGACAAGTCAAAATTATTAAATAAATACATAAATAAAAATAATAACATTTTCTAATTAAAAATCATTAATAATCAGTTAATTAAAAATTCATATTTTTGAAAATTTATCAGAACAATTTACAAACGTGGACATACAGTCTACGAGGGTAAGTAACCAAACGCAGCCTGAGTTATGAAATAAATGTGGACACGTAGTTCACGAGAGTAATACAAACCAAACACGGCTTGAAGTCACAAAAACAAACGCGAATCGAGACCCATAAATAACAAACATGAGAATAGAGCTCATAAAAATCAAACTAGTTAGTCATTGATCATGGCACGCCAAGGGCTAACGAAACTGCCGTTAGCAACCAGTGACTTGTATAAAATTTCCTTCAAATATATTTTCAAACATACGAGAAAATCATCACTATAAAAATACAATTCTCATTCTCAAAGTCAAACTCGCATGAGTAGCTTTGAACATTTACAAACTAGCCAAAATAAAATTTTGTAACTAATGTCCATGTTTAGCATTTATTGAGTAACCCAAAAATAACCAAAGTTGATAAAAATAATCTCATCAATTTTGTAAGGAAAAACACATACACATGCCATAATTTAAATATCCTTTAACATTTCTTTATAATTTTTCAAGATAAAAATAAAAATAAAATAATTTAATTAACTAACAAAGTATTAAATATGTAATATAATTATTATTGAATGATCTCTGTGAAAAATATCTTAAAAAAATAATTTTATTAATAAATCAGTTGAAACGCTGTCTACTTATTTAATAGATTCCCAAGTATATAACTTACTTCCAAATTAGCCCTTTTTACAACAATTCGAGATTCTTAAATTTCTATTGTCCAAATAATACAGCAGTCATTTTCCTATATACATTTTACGATCTAAAATTTACAACTTAAATTTATTCAAGGAAAAGAATAAATAAATATTTTATTTATTTTTTTCAACATTTTTCAAAAATTACATCAATTATTCCATAGAAATTCTAAAGACTAACATATTAATAGCAATCTAGTTCATGAATTACCAATCAAAATATCTATTCCACAAACCTCTAATTTCTGCCTCAACTTACATTATAAAGTGTTTTCTATAATGTTTTAACCAACAACAATACAACCATCACAAGTATCTTACCATAATATGTTAGATTCTTCTAACAAGCATTTTCCCAAATACTTTGCAAGCATTATTGTTTAAGTTATGATACCAAGTTCTCCTCTCTTCCAATCTCCTTATAATATGTAATAGGATTTTACTAGACTTCTTACAATTTCAATAAACATCCTTCTAATGTTAACACAACATGGTACATCCAAATAATTCAAAGTTTCTCCAAACATCATTTTTTTGCATCACAAAGTTTTCTCATATGACTTTGACCATGGCTAAATACTCCCTTAAAATGCAATCTCTAATTATGCTTTTTGCCAAAATACCAATTGTACATTATTTTCAAATTCCACAATAAATCTTTTAATATTCAAATTCTTACCCAACAATTTCTCAATAACCCTATGACTCAAAAAAAATTCAATTATCTACACACTACTTTCATAATTAAATTGAAACCTTTAAGTTAAAACTCAACTAAATGACATTAGTATCAGTCATGCTTGTCACTATAATTAATAGAATTTTAAAAATTACTAAATCAAGCAAAAGTTTTTCTAAGAGAAATTTTGTCAAACACCTTTCTTGCACTAGTCATTAAAATCAAGCCAAACTTCTACCTCTTCAATTCCAATTCCCAGGAATTTTTACAATAAAGATATTTGAATTAATCAAACATTCCAATTTTTTAATACTTCAACTAAAAATCTGTTTTGAGCTCAATGAAAAATCATGTTCAGATTTATCTTTATTAGTGAGAGCCCAAACAATATACTAAAATTACCTACAGGGAATGTACTCATACACTTCAATCTTCAGCCACTTGAAGACATAAATTCAGCGCAAGCAAATAAGAAAGGGAATTTAACTTACTAGCTGAGCACATGAGGAATGAAGGGAAAGAACATAGCCACGCTAGAACAGTGGCGACACAGAACAGAGAGACTTGGGCGGCGAGCTCGAAGAGAACAGAAGAATAATGGCAGAACAGAGGAGGGAGAAGACCGCGCAAACCATAACTTCAACGAGAATGATGGGAAAGCACAATCACCAGTGGCTGCCAGCTGAACAGAGGATGAAGGGCGACGCCGCACAAGGAGAGAAGAGGGAAATCGGTGCAGAAAGGGGAAGAGGAATGAGACGCGAGCACCACGGCAACGCCGAATGGAACTTTTGCATTCCAACACGGGCGATGAGTTGACAACAGAGAAGGAAGAAGGAGAAGACAGAGCGAAGCTTCTGGATCTAAACCATCCCTCTCTCTCTCTGTTGTGGTTGAAGAAGAATCAAGAAAGGGGAAGAGGATGGATGGATCTCGGTTCAAATGGTAAGTGGCAGAGCCACGTCGGAATACGGTAGCCTTGAGCACTGACGCCGGCGATGTGCAGTGAACTTAAAATGTTTAGGTTTTTACGTTAATATAATTGAGAAGACTTTGCATCAATTTTTCACATTTTTGTAAATCTTATATTTTTATGTATGTGGTAATTTCCATCTCAACCAATAGCTCAGAGTGCAGTACTATTTATTTGTCTTTGACAAGTTTTTAACATATTCATACTTACCCAAATTAATCTAATCACTTTAATTTGTGCTTTGCACAGTTTAATCTTATTAGTTTATTAACTTAACAAAGTACTCATTGTCACTCAAACTAATCTTATTAGTTTATTAACTTAACCAGCTATCGACACTAAAGGACCTTGTACTTGCATAAATTTGAGAGACTTTTGAGCAATAAATTTGGTAGTCAAGTGTTTATGGACTATTTTTTCCCAAAAGTTTAATAATACTATATAATAACATGCTTTATAATTACATTTTTTTCTTTAAATTTAAAATGTATAGGAAAAAAATCTATGGTATGTTTAAAAGGCTACTTCATTATGGATATTCTAGTAAAATTGAATATATATCTAAACAAAACTTCATTTTGTCTAATAACACAACATTATTTCTTAAATTGGAATTTTGTAAATGTTATTATCTTTATTACTTCTTTCAATTTTCCTAAATCAAACCTGTGCAACGCACGGGATCCAATCTAGTTGATATAATATATGAAGTTTGATAGTGTTTATACGATGACAAATGTTGTCATTTTTGAGACGTACTCGGTGTGAAAATTTTAATTTGATGGGGAACATATAATTTTGATGTTATAAGGTGGCTGCATGCTTATGGGTTTAAATTGAGGAAATAAGGTTGGATCGTAATCATGGGCTTTAATATGTATTTAAGGTATGCCAATTCATTTGACGAAGGTTGGGACAAGCTCGATATTATTTGGGCACTCCTTATAGTTAAAATGGGGAGGTTCAGGCTTGGTGAGGAGCAATAAGGCCTTTGGCCGAACACCATCCCTTATCGCCTAGTATCTTAGCCTGAGAAAATAAGGAGGAGATGAGATAAAATAAAGAAATGATAAAAACATGTGACTATTGTTGAAAAGAATTTTTGAGATATTAACTAGCTTATTATATGAAATCAATGTAATTGTTATTTGAATATTCAGTCTGTTATGATGTTCTCCTAAGTTGTATAGTTTTGAGTTTAATAATGAAGAGATGTTTATTCCTTTTCAAGCATGCTAGCTTCCTTGAATTATGTTTTAAACTTTTCTAGCATGTTTGTTTGAAATATAATGGTTACACACACACACACATGTATGTTTGGATGTATGTTTACTCTTTCCTCAAGCATGCTATAGTATCATTCAAAAATTTTTATAGAGAGATGATAATTGCTTATTGTGAAAAACTATTAGACTAGGTTACTTTATCAACCTAGGATACACTATAACCTTCAAAGAGGTTGCATAGACATTGTTTCACTACTATTTTAAATGCTGCAAGAATGGCTAGCAGAGCTTTAACAAGGGAACAGGTGTAAGGACCACATCCTCCTTGAGGAGTACGATTCAAAGAATAACACTGCTATTACATTGTAGGAATAGTTATCTTTATCTAACTGTTTATTTAATAAATTTACTTTTGTTTTACTTTAAAATATATATGTTTAGAAGGACAAAAACAGAACTTATAACCTTCCTACTACTGTAGTTTTGAATGATGCTTGAAAACCTTTTTTTTTTATTCCTACCATAGTGGGAGGTCTTGCAGGTTAATTAAGCTTATTTTAAATATCATGGTAGAGTTAAGGTCAATCCTTTTTC